ATATATATATATATATATATATATATATATATATATATATATATATATATATATATATATATATACATATATATATATATACATATATATATATATATATATATATATATATATATATATATATATATATATATATATATATATATATATATATATATATATATATATATATATATATATATATATATATATATATATATATATATATATATATATATATATATATATATAGTGAGAAAAATAGTAAATAATAAAATAATTAATGAAACTGCACTTTGATATACAAGAAAATAACCATAACAGGAAAAGCTAATTTTATATAGAACAAAAGTTGAAGCAACGACCAGAAAAATATCATACATATAGAACATATTAGAAGTTTTAAAAAAAGTTATTGAAATCCTACAGTCAGATTTTTAGAAAATTGATTTCAAGTAAATAAACAAATCTATGATTTACATTAAAAAGGTATTAAATAAAAATAAAGATTAAGCGCGCAAATATTTTTGTTACCTCTATTTAATCATATTTTATATTTTGACTTTTTATTTAGTTAATCCTATAGACGACAGCTTCAATTGTTTGTAAATTGAGGTTTCTTTTCCAGCTCTCAAATTTATAATTATTCTAAATAAAATATTTACTTAAAAATAAACCAATAAATTAAAAAAGAATATTTTAAACTAGTGTTTTAAACTTATTAAATATCACCGCGGTAACTAAATTTCTATTCCAATTTTATTTATTTTCAATTTTTTTTTTAGATCATAAAAATAACATAAAAATAGTTTACTAATAAACGCATCAGCTATTTAATCATGCTTGTTTCCAGTACAAAAATCTATAATCATAACTGTTTATACCAACGTGTAATTTTAAATGTTAAATACCGTTAACGGTATTTTACATTTAACATTTGTTATGTAGTATTTTTATTGTAATATCAAAATATTATTATTAAACAGTGTTCAGACTGCAAAAAAGAAAAAAAGTTGTGTGATTAAGTTCTCCAATTATGTTGGCTAAATGTTGTTAACAATATTGCACCAATATAAAATGCCCACCTTTTGATATATATATTTATAAATATATATACATATATTTATTTACTTATAGAAAGTATATATATATATATATATATATATATATATATATATATATATATATATATATATATATATTTAAAATTTTTAACACAAAATGTTAACCAAATGTTAAAAAAAACAATGACCAAATATTTAAGAGTAAAAATTGATAGTAATATTTCTAAAAATCAACGTCTAGCTATCAATGAACTCAGCAATATTCTTTTGATAAAGTAACGGGTTTGCCATTTTAAATTCGGACTCAGCAATACAAAAAACAAAAAGAACAACTTAGCAATTGCGCAATATCTGCAGTTGATACAACTCAGAAGTTTCTAAGTCTTATTCAACGTACCCTTACTAAATTAAAAAAAGATAAAAAGTCAGATAAAAAAACATATGGTAAAACCACCTCATAAACTTTCGCAATATCTTGTTGAGATAATATCTTGTTTCGCAATATCTTGTTGAGAAACCAACTTTAAATAAAAATGAATGCCGTGTTAAAAATTCATCTTCATTTATATCAACAGCAAAAAAATTGTTTATTAATGACAAAGTTCAAGTGTCATTTGATGCTATTAATTTATACCCATCAGTACCACTTGATAAAGCAATTATTAGAATCATTGATATGCTAAACAAAGATAGAGATGATCTAATACAACGAACTAAGTTATCTTTAGTAGACATTCATAAACTAATTGATCTCTGCATTAGTAAGTGTTATTTTTTTGGGATGACAAAATATATATTTAAAAAAATTCTGGTCCTATAGTTCTTTTCATAATGGTAGTCTTGTCAGAAGCATATCTTCAATATATTGAATCTCATGCTATTTAACAGGCTCTAAACGTCAATATTGCACCAAAAACTTATAAACGTTACGTTTATGATAGCCATGCTCTATTTACTAATATTGATGACGCAATTTCTTTTTTAACATCTTTAAATTCATAAGATAAATCTATTCAATAAACATGCGAATACGAAAATGCTCAATACCAACTAAATTTTTTAGATGTTTGTATTTCAACCAATCACTCTCTTCACAAATATAAGTTTTCCATACATTTTAAAAATGCAATTACAAATGTACTTATAAAACCGAAATCATTTATTTCACCAAATATCGCTGTTGGTATTTTTAAAGATTTTTTAGCTCGAGCATACAAAGTTTGTTCAGAACATAACATTCAGGATGAAATTAATTTTCTTATTAAGATTTTTACTGAAAATGGACATTCCTATAAATAGTATTCAGATATTGCTAAAAATTATAAATACTTCGCAAATCCATCTTGTTCTCAAAAATTTGATACCAAAAATATAGTTATTTTACCATGGGTCCCAAAGTTAGGCCTTGTTCTTAGGAGAGAATTTCGTAATATCAGCGTTAAAACAGTCTTCCGTTTTGGTAATCTCTTAATCAATATACTTTGCCGTAACAAGCCTAAACTGCCTCCGAATAGTCATCCAGGAGTGTACCAACTTACTTGCACATGTGGTGCACGTTATATAGTTAAACAAGAAAAAAGATTTCCACACGAATTCAAGAACATAAAAATAATGTTACAAAAGCCAACTGGGAAACATCAGGAATAGTAGAACACTGACAACATTCTAATAGCAAAATAAACTAGGAAAACCCTAAAATGCTTTCTACTATTTCAAACAATTACACCAGAAATATTCGTGAGGCTATTGAAATACAACGTGTACAATGTTCAAAACCTAAAGAAAACGTTTTAAATTGCGACAATGGCAATTTGGTGATGAATCATCATTGGAAACCATTTTTTGTAAAATTAAAAAATGTTGAAATCTGACGTTGCAGTGACACTATTTGTTTACGTTTGTTATAATTTTTTAAACGGTTTTTTTAACGGTTTTATTAGTTTAATAATGGCGCTCACTATATGAGCCGAAATATCACTTATGGAGAAAATAAATAAATAGTATGATACCGTATATGATGTTTTGAGGCTTACAATTACATATACTATTAAAGCTATATTAAAATACTATTAAACACAATCAATATGGTAAGTTTTCCATAAAACAACAATGTATTTCTCAATGGAACCAGTGTATTCCTGCATTAATAAAAAAGTCTAAGAAAAAATATCCACTTGTTACGAATTTTTTACTGTTCAACAGAATTCAATTTAAAAATATATTGTTGGAGTGTATATCTTTATAATTTCTCTCTGTACTGTAGTTGTCTTCAATATATAATCTCTTTAACGAACAATTGGTCTGATTTTTACTTTATTTATTATTTGCCTATCTTATATTTATTTATTGTTGTATTATTAATATTACATTTTATGTTATTATTATATCTAATTATCATCTATGATTTGTACATACAATTTATATTGTATGTACAATGGTACTTTGTTATTATTGTTATTATTTTGTATTATTACTATTATTATTACATATATCATTATTATTTGTTTTACAATCTTTTCTTCTTTTCTCTCTTATTTCTATATACAGATGTTGAGTTTTTCCTTTTGTTTTTTTTTTTTTTTTTGCTTTTGTTTCTTTTTCTTTTTTTTTTTCTATTTATTTATTTTTTCGTGAAATTTTTATGTTTTTTTAGGTGTCACTCCATTAACTAGTTTGTAACTATATGAGTGACACCTAACCAATTTATATTAATTTACGATGAAATTTGTAAATTTTATTGATATTTTTGAATAATAAAAAAAAAAAATATGTCACTTAAATTATATATATATATATATATATATATATATATATATATATATATATATATATATATATATATATATATATATATATATATATATATATATATATGTATATATATATATATATATATATATATATATATATATATATATATATATATATATATATATATATATATATACATTTATATATATATATTATATATATATATATATATATATATATATATATATATATATATATATATATATATATATATATATATATATATATATATATATATAGTATATATATATATATATATATATATGTATATATATATATATATATATATATATATATATATATATATATATATAATATATATATATATATAAATGTATATATATATATATATATATATATATATATATATATATATATATATATATATATATATATATATATATATATATATATATATATATATATATATGTATATATATATACATATATATATATATATATATATATATATTTATATATTAACCAGATAGATTCGACAATCATGTATATAATTGCAAGAAAATACACAAAAAAAACTATGAAGCTATTCCTTCAGTTTTTGATTTTCTCAAACTAAAAAATGAAATAAGTTTGTTGACCTATGAAAATTATTTTCATCAAAGCATGGCACTTTGATCTAATATTTCCTTTTATAATACCATAACATTGGGAACTCAAAGTTACAAAAGTGCAAATAAATATATCAATTATGCAACTTTTTACATACACCAAAATCGCGATAATAAAATTTGCAATAATACTACTGATAATAAATGCTGAAAGGCCTCTATTACTATTTAATGTTTTCTTTGCAATATTTTATTATAAAAAAACTTTTTCTTAAAAAAGTATATTTTTTGAATATTGTTAATTTACTTGGCAACTTTTTTCTTCATATTGTTCACTATTAAATTTCTTGCTTTATATATATCTATATTTATTATATATATATATATATATATATATATATAAATTTTCAAAATTAGAAAAAGCATTGCTTAACTTTTATGGGAAAAAAATTTTACACATTCATTGATAAAGTTAATAAATAACTGATTAGTTATTAAAAAATATCGTTTCGAATTTTTATTGTGTTAATGGTAAATTTGAAATAGGCTAGTCAGTACAAATTAAATAAAGTATTAATATTTTTAAATGTATCATTGATACATTCAACAATATTAATATTAGAGATTAGAATATTCGGTGACTCAACATTCTTTATCATCCACGATGCTCTGTGATAAGACCAATGGGACATCTTGGAGCACCTAAATAGATAAAAAAAATAAAATAATAATAATTAAAAAAAAAAATAAAAAAATATTAATATTAATATTAGAGATGCCACAAATATTCGGTGACTACTCGGAATCTGTTTACTTTTCTACTTTTTTTACTCTTTGTTATTCAGCCGAGTATCGAAAAATATTTGGTTGAATACCGAATACTAGATTGTAGCACAAAAAAGGATTTTTTATAACACATTTATAAGTTTTTTTATCATATTTTTTAGAAATAATTAGGATATTTTATACTTAAAATCTATAGATAGTAAGTTATTACAAAATGAAATTGCACTTTGATATACAAGGAAATAGTCATAACATTAAAAACAATTTTTTATATGGAAAAAAAGTTTAAGCAATGACCAGAAAAATATCATACATTTAGAACATATTTATCTAAATTTAAAAAAAAATTATTGAAATCCTACAGTCAGATTTTTAGAAAATTGATTTCAAATATATAAAGAAATCTATGATTTAGACTAAAAAGGTATTAAAAAAAAAAATAAAGTTTAAGCGCGCAAAGACTTTTGTTACCTCTATTTATTTATATTTTTGTATTTTATTAAATTTTTGTATTATATTGATTTACGTTAAAAATAAGGCGACATCATTGGCTTTTCAGAAATTAATTAACAAATAAACTGTTGCCATACAAAGTATTCTCTGTAGTTGAGAACCGTAACCATTTTAAATATTCATAAGTTTTTCCTATTTTCTTACGCATGCATACCTAAATATAGCGCTTTTTACTAATATCTAAACCACCGTGAAAAAGATTAAGGCGTGTTTTTGTAATTAAATGATAGAATAAATATTTTATCAAAGTTAAAAAAAAATTATGCTTTTACAATATCAATTCGTTCATAAATTTGTTATTATTCACTTTCCATATTATCATGATTAAATATAAAATCCAAATATGACACCAACCTTCGCTTGGTGTTTTCATACTTAATCTTTTATACTAATACATTTTTTAACTTACTGAAAAACTTAAATGAAATATATTTAGAGAGTTTCTTATGAAAAATACATTTACAGAAAACTTTCTGAAAATCTTATATGAAATATGCTCTTAATCAACGGACTTAATTATTCAAAATTTGAATTCAGTTTCAGAGAGCCTAATTCTTTTATTTTCTGAAGTCTTAGAGATATTTAGGACAGAGTAATTCAGTAAGATAATTAAAATTTGACATTACTAGTATCTAACAGAAAAAAAAACTTTGTAAAAGATATAAAACTTTTGTTCGAAAGGTATTTATTTTTGATTACAATAAGAAAAAAAAATTATCAAATGAATAGTTAGTTTCGACAAAATGTTTGAAGAAAAAAAAAGTTATTATTTATTATCATTTATAATTTAATTATTATTTTAAAGGCAATTCCAAAAGAAAATAAAGAAATAAAAAAAGGGCCAATGTTGATGCAAGAGAAACTTTATTAAAGTAAACTCTTTGAAAACACTATAATATCAAACTCAAGGATCATAAACATAACATTGGATTAATACTTGTAATTGTAGTAAGATTCAATCTAAAACTTACAATGATTGATGGAAAAGCAGTTAATGCAATTTGTGAGAATAAATCGGCTCAAGTTTGTAATATTTGCAAATGTGCTCCTAGATCAATGAACAACTTAGATAAAGTTCTGATTCGTTCAACAGATTTGCAAAGCTTAGAGTTTGGGTTATTATCATTACATGCATCGATTCGATGTTTCGAGTGTACTCTGCATATAAGTTTTAGACTTGATATTAAAGAATGGCAAATACGTGGACCTGAAAATATAAAATTAGCAGCTGTAAAAAAAAAGTTTGTTCAGCGTGAGTTTGCAAAAGTTGGCCTTATTGTTCACATACCTCTTCAAGGCGGATCTGCGATATCAAATGATGGCAATACTGTAATTCGTGCCTTTCGTCAGCAAGGCGAGTTTTCTCGAATAACAGGAGTCAAGAATGATTTAATATACAGGCTATAAATTATTCTATCTGTCATTAATTTGAATAAAAAAATTAACATAGTCAAACATGAAATATATTGTTTGGAAACAGCAAATATTTTTGTTCGAGAGTATTCATGGTTTTACATGTCAGCCTCAAACTACACAAACTACTCATTCATAGTAATCTCATGATATCTAGATTTATGCTACCAATTGGAATGTACTCTGAAGAAGCAATTGAAGCTCGAAATAAAGATAAAAATATTTGTTTACAACACACTCGTAAATTTGATCAAAAAGCTACAATGACGGACCAATTCAATTATTTAATGCTTTCGAGTGACCCAATTCTTTCATCTCTAAACTATGCAAGATCAAAATGTAAACATAAAAAAATGAATAAAGATGGAGACGCAGTTGATCTTTTTTTTCAAGAAACTGAAAAGAAAAATACAAATGATGTTAATGACGATATTTATGCGGATGAATAATATAATGAGTTGGATTAGGATGATGATTTTGATGATAGAAATGAGGAACTAAAACAATAAACATAAATGAAATAAGAAATTTAAATGAACACAATGACATTATCGAATCATCTGAAAATGAAAACACTGATTTGCCATTTTATTACTATTCTGACTTTGAATACACTAAGATTTTATTTATATTATTCTTACCATTTGATTTATGCGAAATTATTATGTGTATTAATTTGTAAAACAGAAATAAAATTATAACCTTGAGGAATAAAAAATGAATTCTAAGTTTTAAATGATTACTTAATATTACCAATATAAAACATAGTTAATGTAGTTCACTAAAAGTCTATATGACGGTTTTTAATGACTAATAGTTTAAATATTTTTTAACCCTTACAGTATATGCAAGTGTCTAACTTAATTTTTCTTACAGTATCTACGTTAATTTTTGATGCTTAAGGCTTTTTATAGTTTTTAACATTACAATTTTTTAATTAAAATGCAATTATCAACTAATTAGTTTTCAATATCATAAAAACTTCAAGTTTCCAGACAAATAGATTTTTTCACGTCACAATGCATTGTAAAGTAAGAATTAAATTAGTCTAAAATCTTGAAATTTTAAAATCGATTTTAAGTCTAAGTTATAGCTAGTCGCAGCTGATTTTATTTAATAGTATTAAACAACCGTTATACTTCTAAATATCATTAACTCCAATTTCAAGAGATCGGCATTTGATTGGAATCGAGTTCTTAAAAATTCGATTTTTATGCGTTTATATTGAAATGATTTTCTTTTTTTTTCCTTTTTTGAAAACATTAAAATAATAAAATAAAACTTATTTTAAATAATAACGGTTCGATGTGTCTAATAAAATTAAAAAAAAAAAAAAAACTATATTCCTTAAACAAATATCTTAACTTTAAATCGGTCTTTTTATAAAAGCAAAAAAAATTGTCAATTTTGAACTAAAAAATATATCATAAAAAATACATGGTTGCAGCTGGGTTTTTTTTTGAACGATAACTGCCGTTTAGTAAATGCAAAAATCAGAAAATCAAACGATCGTCGAGTGGCATTTAAAAAAAGAAGGATGAGAAAATTTAGAAAAACACCTTTAAAATACCAACAACTCTAAGACATATTATGAATAAATTAAATACAAATATATAACTAAAACATATACTTTTTATAAGCACTATGTTAATATGTTTATTTAAAATAAAAATAGTCTAAAGCTGTTTTAATTGAAAAAAGTGTAAATTTTGAGGATAAGTATTTTTGAAAAAAAAAAAAATTTGCGAATTTTAAAGCCATTATGAATGGTTCTAGCAAGCTTGCCTTCATCTCTAGTAATTAAACGGATACATTTGCAAGTGGAGTAAAGCACCTTTGTTTTAATAATGAAATAGAAAAAAAGTTTAGAAGATTTGACTTTTTTGGGACTTTGGCCACGGAAAAAAAATTCTGGCCCACTGTGTAATGCCACCAAAACTATTACTAAAACTTTGTAAATTTGGTTACTATAGTAACCAAATTGATATATCAATTTGGTGCTGTAGTACAAGATGGTCTATATAAAGACCATCTTGTACTGAACGTGGAAATGGAATTAGGTATCACGCATCAGTTAACTTGAGAAATTAAGAAAACAATTGATTTTTCAAAGCTTTTTTAAACAAAATTTCAGAAAAAAATAAAATATTTATACCTAAAAAAAATATATATATATATATGATAAAGTTATATAACAATATTACTATAAAGTAAATATGCATACGTTATAACATTTGAGCACTATTTAGAATCTAAAGTCAAGGAGAAGGAATTTTATAAATTAAATTGGCCTTAATCTGTTATCACATAATGCCTAATCTTGTCACAAATTAGTTGTATCTATTAATGTTCTAAATAGAATTATAAATAATTACTCTAAGATGCCAAATAAAGGTAAATAATTCTTAATAAATGTTAAATAAATGCTGTGAGGATAATGGTAAAATAATTATAGTTAGAAATTTCCTATCATTTCCTTAAGGAATATACAGTCTTTTAGAAAGATCTAGTTTCAATTAAACAATATCGTTTTTATGGTTTTATTGGAACTTATTAAATCAAGTAAATGAAAATAGTTGACGTATTTAAAGGTTCTGGTCCTGCAATCACATATCAACACTTTAAATTACCAAACTCGTCTAACAATCATATAGCTATTTCAATTTTTTCTCAAATATAAATGCATTGTTGCTCTTACATTTTCTTTAGTAATTTAATTACTAATTTATATATTATAATTTAATTACTAATTTATATATTATAATTTAATTACTAATTTATATATTATAATTTATATATATAAATTATATATTATAATTTATATAAATAATAAATATATATATAAATATATATAAATTATATATTATAATTTATGCCAGATAAATTCAATAATTAGTAAAACTATGAATTATTCTTTCAGCGTTTAATTGTTTTTCAAAAATAATTAAAAATTTTGTAGTGATACAGAAAAATACCAGAAAATTTTTAATCTAAATGGATAGTTGTAAATATATTTACAACTATCCATTTAGATTAAAAGTTTTCTGGTAATTGAAGTAAAAAAAAATTTATTCTTTATTTTAAGGAGTAAAATGAATTCGTTAATACTCAACCTATTTCATTTTTATATTTACAACTATCCATTTAGATTAAAAGTTTTCTGGTAGTTGAAGTAAAAAAAATATTTTTCTTTATTTTAAGGAGTAAAATGAATTCGTTAATACTCAACCTATTTCATTTTTAATACTTTCAAATATTTAAAAAATGATTCAAATTCAAAACCTTTTATTATAAACAACTAAAATATAAAGAATCTATCACCAATGATAAAAGAATCTATCACTACAAAATTTTTAATTATTTTTGAAAAACAATTAAACGCTGAAAGAATAATTCATAGTTTTACTAATTATTGAATTTATCTGGCATAAATTATAATAAAATAATATATCAATATATAATAATATAATACATATATATAAAAAAATATTTCATGCTAAAAAATCAAATAAAATTTTTTATATCAAAGCTGTATATTTAAAAGGTGTTTTGTTTAGTTTCACACATTAACGCAATTGCTAAGAATTTAATCATTGATCTTAATTATTCATTAACCGTCGCTTAACAATTAAAACAACTACCACGGTAATAACTCCAATTTTTTTTTTTTAATTTTAAAATAACTTATCTTACTCATCTTTCTAGAGACGAAACAAACTCTTCCGCTTAAATTTGGTTTCTTTATTTAGTTAATACTTTATCTTCATTATACAACATTAGTAGTACAACATGCTCATACCAAGGTGCTGGACTAGTTTCATTTGTTCCTTAGAAAAGAATAAAATGAATTGTTTCTGTCACTCCATTTGTATGTACACTAAAAAACTATTAGAAATTTTAATAAGCAACTTTTTTATTGATACTATCATATATAAAAATTTTACTGGTACTGCAGTTTATGCTGAAGAAATCATTCTTTTCAGCTCTACTCAATTTGGCCAAACATGTAAAATGTGCAACTATTCAAACAACTTAATGCTGTTGAAACGAAACTTTTTCTCAACAGAGAAAAGCAAATAAAAACTGGATGATAACACCAGAAAACTATCAAACAACACCGTCTAAAAAACTTAATAATTAAGGCTTTACATGGATACAAAACTATTCATTTTCTTCTGCCTAATTAATTAAACTTCAGAATAAATTTAAACAACGGAGAATCAATTTTCCGAACAAGTTGCAAACTCTGATTTAATTACAAATCCGGTTTCACACATCCAACTTTTTATGTTAATGCGTATACTTTTTTATTCTATCCTTGTTATATTTTAGAGATATATACAAACACATTTTGTATGTGCCTAGAAAATGCATTTATTTGTACTTATAAAGAGTTACTTTCTAAACGTGGTTGTTAAGTTGTTAAAAAAAAAAAGCTTGCTTTTTCATACATGATAAATGTTTAACAAATCAGTAATTAGTTGACTATATTTAAATAATAGTAGGTGACTTAGAAAGATGTTAAAGTCAAGTAAAACCATAGAATGGCATAATCCAGACCATAAATATTTAACCCTTTTCAAAAAGCAAAAAATTTAAATAAAATAAATTTGTTAAATAAATTTGAGTTCGTAATAAATTATGAAAATTTGAAACTAGATAAATTATTTTTAAATAAACATTCAATTCCACATTTTAGTTTTTATTTGTCTAGTTCTAAAAATTTATCTATTTTTTTTTTTCAAGTTTCAGTTTTATGTAAATAAAGTTTTTATTTACGTAAAACTGACCAATTACTGAAAAAAAGCAATTACTCTTTTTTATTTACCCGGCCTTGCATTTTCATTTTATGAATACAATAATAGCACTACCGATGGTTTTTTGAATGAACTCCTGTGCTAAAAAAATATTATTCTTTGACGGAGTTTATCTCATTATACAGTAAAATTTTTTGTTTGAAAAATATAAGAAAAAAGATACTGCGTACATTGTTTAATTGGTTGACAAACAACATTTACTTAATTTATATTTGTCAATAAGATCAGCGTGATCAGGTATACCTGATATTGTGATCAACGTTATTAGGCATACCATACTTTATCCACTACAGAAAATTTGAGTTTCATGCTTTACCTGTTCAAACGTTCAAAAAGTGGCGGGTTTTTTTTCTATTGGTTAATTTATATACGACTAACACTGTTAAAAAACCTTATTGCCTTTTCCGCACACTAAATAATCTAACTTTGAAATGGTTGTCAAATAGTAACTTAAATTGCTAGTGAAATTGACTTGGCAGAACTTTATTTGGTTTGCTATTATCGCCTACACTACAGAGATAAAAGACTTCAAATATTAAGCAATAAATATTAAAATCAAATCAAATATAAATATTTAAAAAAAAGTTAATACGCAGCCGTATTTATTAAATTTTACATACATTTTATCGTTTAATAAGAAAGTTTTTTTCAAACTTAATAATAATAGTAACGTGATAATATTATTATAGCATATTTAATTAAAAACAAATTTATTGAACAAAATTGTTATAAATCACTTTAAGTTGAAAAAATTCGGCTAATATATTCATAGAGCTTACTTTTGTTATACTTGCTGAAGCAACATCATTTGATGCAAAAAGGCCTTAGATTAGATAGGGCTGCAAATATGCTAGTCATTATAACCAAACGTCAACTTTAATGAAATAAACATACCTAACAGCACTTTCTATTTTAGTTGATCAAAAAATTATTGTGTATTGCAAACAGCGAAGTTAAACAATGGTTTTACGTTGGAGCAAAATCCTGGGAGAATGCTAAAGGTTTTCAAAAGTTTTGTTTAGTTGTCAATTATCTATCTACTCCAAAAGACTAATAAATACCAAGCTAATACAGACTATATAGATAAAACAGGCAAAATCATGTACAAAAGAAGATCCGCAGAAAATTATTCACAAAAGAATAATCTCTGTAAATAATTCTCTATGCGTTTGATTTAATAAAAGAATGGTTTTAATCATTCCAAGCAAAAAATTGTTTTAGTGGATTAGCAGTATATAGACTTTTTTTATCGGTTCACTGGAGTTCTGCTCATCGCTTACTTAATGGACCATTAGTGGCAAACTCTTTAAATGTTAAGCTGATAACTTTCTGACAAGTTAATATTGGATAGTCATAGGCTAGCCACTTTCGGTAGCTACCACTAGTGGTCCACTAAATAACCGATGAGCAAAAGTAGAGCAGTCCGCTCAAAATACTTATATAGGTCCAATGAAATTCCGCTATAGAATGTTTGCTGGGTTGTGATTCGTTTTCTTTATATAAAAGTTTTGCGTTTCATTATTTAATTGTGTGAAATTTGTAAGTTGTAATTTTTCATATTTATTTAAACATTTATTTAAAAAATGTCTCTGTAATAAAAAAGTCAAAAACTGTAAAAAAAAAACTCTAGTAATATTCCAATTTTAACATCTTTCAAAGTTACTACTTTTAAAGTTATTAACTTAGATTAGAATTTTTTCAAGTTTCATGTTTATGCCCAAATAGTTTTAAAAGTAGTAAAAGTAGTGAAAGTAGCCCCATAGTTTTAAAAATATAAGAATTCAATTTTTCATAACTTTTTGAAACTTTCTAATGTAAATGTTTATGAAGGCTGTTATCCTTTATATTAAATCGGAGTACGTTGCATTTTTAACTATTTTACTTTATTTTCAAATTTGTAAAACACATATAGACCCTCTTGGAATTTATATTTCATATATATATATATATATATATATATATATATATATATATATATATATATATATATATATATATATATATATATATATATATATATATATATATATATATATATATTATATATATATATTCTACGTCGGAGACAAGATATTAAATCATAATTTACTTTTTATTACTTTTTAAAAATTTGTTTTAATGACGAATCAAATAAAGTAAACTTAGGGCGGACATTTTTTTCAAGCGTAATTCCATAAAAAACAAGTCTTACTCGAGATGTGTAATATTGAAAACAAAGCCTAAATTCCAGAACCGGGTCTACCGGGCTACCCTATACATCCCAACTGATGAATGAGGAGGGCCCAGAAAGATTAGAGGTAAAATTAAAGAGCTTTTTTTGTAGCAATACCTAGCGGGAAAATGTTTAAGATTTTAGGACTCTAATGGCAGATTTTTGAGGGGTCTTCAATCCAATAGCTACATACTATTAAACCTTTTGTTTGCGGACTTAAAAAAGGGTTGCTTAAAAAATAAGTTTGCCTTACTCAGGCCAGTGTATAAGAAGTGGTATGTGTGTGTATATAGTGACACTATACCCTCAACTCCCTTACACCATTCATTCTTTTATGTTAGCAAACTAGAATTTTTAGTCAGAAATTAACTTTTCTATTGTTTAGCTGGCGTAATATGGACAACGATGATACGGTACGGTTTTTTTTTTAAAAAAAAGTTATTCAAAAATATTTAGTTATTAACAAGTACTTCTTAATTGTGATAAATTAGAAAGACAAACATTACTGGAAAGTTTTTTTTAATTAGTATGCGCGTACTTTTAAATTGAACCTCCTTCACCCTCTCCCCATTCGCTTTCATATGCCATTTGAAGCCGCTTCCTCCCTTACCCTCCCTTACCCTTATGAGCGTAAGTATTGATAAGCATATCTATTTGCGTCAACGTATATAAGATTAGGGGTTTAAGTAAAATCTTCTTTTATTTACGAAACAAAAGGTTTTACAAGCATAGTACCGAAGCATTTCAATGTGGTTGAACTTCCATCTGTTTTATACTTCGATCGTTAATAAAATTGAAACAATAACAAATTAATCAGTTTTTTTTTGTTGTTGCGTAAAACAAAGTAGTATTGTTTTAATTTAAAGTGGCTCTTTTAATAGTAAGTTTTAATAATAACGACTTATTTACAAATTAGTTGTAATTGTCAGGTATGTGTTTTTTTTACTTAATGTTAATTTTTGAGCTTTTTTAAATTGCTCATATTACCCAGAATTAATATATATTACTGTGTAACATTATCAAGTGGTTTGGGTAATATGGGCATTTTCATTTCTTTTTTAAAACCTATGTGTTATTTTAAAAAAATTTCAAGCGCCAAAACATTTACCTGGATCACGAGTAGTGATCCCTAAGAGTTGTCCAGTGTAACTATTCTTGAAAGTATTCCAATTTTTCCTTTGGGTGCTCATAATAGCCTAACCTATATAACCCTATATAAGGTAAGAGTAGTAAGCTGCAGATTTTGCTAATTTTTTAAATAATACAACAAATTGTCTAACTATTGATGACCTTTTAGCACGTTGAAAAGTTACAAGCTCAATTGTATACTGTAAGATTTCACTCGGTTTACCAAAATCAATCGAAAAATAGTTCAGATTAATTTAGGAAACTTTATATGGGTTTATTTAAAGAAAAAAATTTAAATCACGATTGAATGTAAGGCTAAACCCAATAAAATATTGATTTCCAAGAACACAAAGTCAAAACGTAATTTTGTATATTAAATATTTTGGGAAATGGTACCAAAGTTATAGCTAACAAAAATCGTCAACCAACAAATTTCAACAAAGTTTTTAAACATTTTTAACCAATTTGGGCAGGACAATTTAAAAAACTTAAAAGTTGTTTGTCAGTTGTTTAACTAGATTTTGGAAATAATGAACTGCCGAACATTTATACTAAAACACATGTTAAATAACCTAATGATAATATCAGGGGTTGAATAAAAATCTCGACAGCAATATCAATTCAAGTTTTTTTTTATCGGTCGTTCCTATTGCAAAATGCTATAACCACGATAGTCTGATTACTTTTCCCGGGACACAAAGTATTTATATCAATTTAATGATAATAAAATAGGAAGAAAAAGATGCAGAAAATTTGAATAAATGAGGGGCAGCAAGTTTGAATAAATGAGATGCATCACTCTAAGGTATAACTTTTATAAAAATATTTAATCAGCATATAATTAATTTTTGTAACCA